GTCTACTCTCCAGTGACCACCACAGAGGATGACCTGGAAGTTGAAATGCTTGGCTTGTGAGTATATTGTTTCTACCCAGCAGACACATTGAAGAGGGTTTCTTAAGCCCAAACAGTTCTGTGCTAGGGAAACATTCTTTCAGCTTTGCCCTCATGAGTGGCCAGAAGTTAGATCCGGTGGTTAATATGCAAGCTTTGGATGAAAAAGCAACTGAGGGTGTGGGACTGGTTTTCTACTTCTGTCCATAACTATCCGTCCATCCGTCCGTCCGTCCATCCATCCATCCATCCATCCATCCACATCATTTATGTTTTCTCTGTTTCAAAGTATTTTGCAATGGATTCACTGAGCTAATTTCATTGACAATCCCTCTATCTTGAGAACATTCCTCAGTCCCGATAATCACTCATTTTTCTAAAAGATCTCACCTCCTTTCTGATGTCCACCTATAGTTTTTCTTCTTCATAAGAGCCATGTTCAAATTCATTTTATGTCGCCCATGTATGACATGAATTTAGTCTCCTTGTTAAGACAAATAATAAAACCTTATAGATAAAGCTACAATTCTCTTTCCCTCTTGGCATCTTGCTGTTTTTTTCTCTTGGGGCATGCCAGATGCTCATTTCAGATCTGAGTAATCTCCCTAAAGGTGCATCTGAGGTGCTTTGTCCTGAAGGGGGTAGGGCCAGCTATTCAGACAATGCACTTTGTGTGGCAGTTAGAAGGGTGTCATACTTGTAATGCCAAAGGTGGCATGGGGGTAGAATTAGTAAAAGCTTCATGTGGCCAAATTTTCTGCTTCAGTCACTGACTATCTTTCATATCTAGGGACACAAAATTCATTATTTATTTTTTATGAAGTAAATATAGTTTGGACTATTATATGTATTAAAACAGCTGTGACTTGGCTATGGAAAGATAACTTTTAAAAATATTCTGTGTTTGAATAAGGAATACACATTTAATATTCTAATTATACTGTAAATTCTAGAAGTTTATATGTATAACACAAGTATGTTTTATATATATATAAATATATATATATTTTTCAGAGAGGAAGGGAGAGAGAGAGAGAGATAGAAACATCAATAATAAGAGAGAATCACTGATCAGCTGCATCCTGCATGCCCACTACTGGGGATGGATTCTGCAACCCGGGCATGTGCCCCAACCTGGAATTGAATCATGACCTCCCGGTTCATAGGTCGATACTCAACCACTGAGGCACACAGGCCAGGCAAAAGTAGGTTTTTAATAACTGTATATTGAACTGAATTTCCTGAAAAGTCTCATAAAAGAGTTATATATGTATATTTATTGTATTTTTCATAGATTCCACTTATAAAGTAGAGATACATTCCAAACCAAGAGCCTCAAATATTGCCATAATGTATTTTTCATAGATTCCACTTATAGAGATACATTCCAAACCAAGAGCCTCAAATATTGCCAGTTTCTATGGAAGTAGAACCTAGAGTAGCAACTCACATTTCTATAAGGACCAATTTAAAATAGTCTATACCAGCCGTGGGCAAAGTATGGCCTGCGGGCCGGATCCAGCCAGTTTGAAATGAATAAAACTAAAAAAAAAAAAAGACCGTACCCTTTTATGTAATGATGTTTACTTTGAATTTATATTAGTTCACACAAACACTCCATCCATGCTTTTGTTCCGGCCCTCCGGTCCAGTTTAAGAACCCATTGTGGCACTCAAGTCAAAAAGTTTGCCCACCCCTGGATA